GAAAATGATTATTTCCATGAGATTAAACTTAAGACATATGTAATACTATAGATATTCGGAGAGAAAATGAAACATTGACATCATCATTGTCTCTTAGATACAGTAAATGATAAGTAGGTAAAACTGTTATAAAATATAATATATGATAAGTTTTAATCTGTGGTATGTCTGTTATATTAGGCCAATAAAATACATAAAAAATAGATTATCTGTATGTATGTACAAAGCATGTGTTGAAATCACGTGGTACCAAGATATTGACCCGGCGTGCTGACCTCTTATGCAAATTGGTTACCTCTGGACGAGTCTATTAACATATAGGGAAGAAAGCCATGGAGTAACCATCTAATAATACGATAAGTTTCAGAACGTGGAACGTGAATTCGTACTGACATACCCGGGAATATGGAACCAACCAGCATATTACAGGCTTTGTTTAACAAAGCAGGCCCGTCGGGCTTAAATTACGCGTGCATGTACGAATGTTGTGGATTATATACGGTAGGATACTGCTGAGTACAAAATGCAGAATACTTTACAGGCAACGGTGCATATGCACACAGGACAACGGAAGTATACACTTCATCACAATCATACCAGTGTTTTGTACATGCGCTTCCACGCACACTTAAATGATTACTCTTTCCTTACGTTCGGGGAAAATATAAGTTCTCTTAAAGGGAATTTTTCGTAAAATCACCAAGTTACAAATTTGTTAAAAATGGGTTTTTTTCAAGTGAAACAGCGAAATGTTAGATTCCAAAACAAACATTAAAAATTTGGGGGTAGATATTGACATAAAAAAATTGGAGAAATACTTAGGGGACAAATGTAGAAAAATCCTGAGGGAAAAAACTGCCTATTACTGGTAGTTAAAATAGTGTAGCGCACTTATAGCCTGGAAGAACTGCGACAATGACCGTTAGTGACGTCACCGTACACTTTCTGTCGTCTGCTGTCTCTTTAATTAATATGTGTCCGTGTCCAGATAGAATGGATTGTGTGATCGTGTCTGAGTTTATCAAGTTCATTCACAACAGTTTGTCTTTTTTCTTCGTGAGAGATTCAACAATCAATATCTGTCGATAATTGTTTTTCAGTATCTTTTTGCGGAGAATATTTATTCGCGGTCAACCTATCTCAAAATCCGGATTATGACTGAAATTTTCTCATTCTCAATTGGTTCCAGATTGTGACAACGGGAAACCGATCGAGGCTGGACTTTAGGTCTAAGATATGTTTGGCAGATCTGAAGTATGGCTTTTAGGGGGTCGAATTTGCTAGCATCTTGGCCGCTGGAGACCGGTACATTTTGGAGTTTCAAACACGTACGTCGTGAGTATTGCTCATGAACTTCAAGACTATTGACATGCTCAATAAGATTTTCTGTAACTGATCAGTTTCGTTGTGCAAAACCTTTGTTTTATTTTGTTTTTGTTTGTTTTTTTTGTGAATGATGATTTGTCGTTCCATGGAAGACACTTTTGTCGTTGACAGGTGAGCTAACTTTTGTGTTTGTACATTTTTCAATTCAATTAGGTTTTGCGCGATCGTTTCTCAAACAGGTACACAGTACCACGGATAGTGGGAGATGTTATGAAAATTTGTCAAAGAAAGCGTTTTGTCGTGATATTTGTATCATACGTTACTTACGTGTTCTGTCTTTGACAAAAACACGATTTCTTTAATTGTTGTCAATATATCCTTGTGTAGCAGTAGCTGAGATCACTCAATATGTGTTGAAGTTGAAAGAAAATTTTACTTCATAAACTAAAAAAAAAAAAAAAAAACAGTTGATGGAAAGAGTTCCTTTTGAACCCCCACCCAAAATGACTACCAGTAGGCTATAATAAGTATCTAAAAGGGTTTATTTTATGGGGTACCAAGAAATATTGGGGCATGGTCTTAAAATCAACCCTTTCAGACACTTGTATTATATTTACCAGGTATAATAACCCATTAGTAGCCACTTTGAGTGGGGGGTTCAAAAGGAACTCTTACCAAGTTGACAGTGTGACTATGAAGTAAGTACGACAACCGAGATAGCACCCCATATTTTAATTACGCTCTTTGTTTCTTTTACTCTGGTGTGAATATTAATCAGAATAATGAGGTTGTACTTTATCCAGACCAACATGTAAAAAAAAAAAAAAATATAGAATGCCAGAATGATTCGGACTTTCTGTGACGAGCTATTTATTTTGATATTTGTAACATCTATCAAAATATTGAGCTAATAACTACTACATTCTAAAAATAGCATTGTGGGCTACACTATTAGGATCAGATACAGAACTCGATATTACATAATGCAATCAAATTATTGAAGAACACCTGGTCTTATTGTGAGTGAGTCTCCGCGTCAATCTTTCATTTATTCATATTTTGCCCTAATTTATTGAATCTGAATTTGGATTGTAAATTAGTTGGTTTAAATATGTTAAATATGCATAAATGTGTGCATTTTAATTATTTTTGTTTTTATGTGTTATATCAATACTTCCTTAACAGGTTTGTGGTGTGCTTTTAAGTACATCCGGTTTGCATTTATACTTGGAATTTAGTGTGACAGCAAATTGAGATGAGTAATTAGTAAAACGCGTGAAAAGCATTAAGTACGTGTGATAAATCACACTTCCCGTGCATGTTTTTTTCCTGGATCAACAACATCAATATTCTATACTCACTAAATACTGCTATTGTTTGAAACCATGTATATATGAAACTAGTCTGCCAAATGAAATATTTATACTATATTTAAACCGTTGATGATACAGACTTCCTGGTCTCTGGTCTCCGGTTTTGGTAAAGGAAAACGATGCTTATAAATGTGATCCCTTCCAAGTTATTGTAACATCAAAATGGCATATACGCATGACCGATTTCCGTTTTAATTGAACTATAAGGGCGATGGGACTCCTTTTTTGGCGAGTAAATATACAATAGTATTCCGTGTGGTGCCTGACCGTTTGATACGTAAGGGGACAACATATAATAAGGGAACCGTTACATTGTTTTAGCAGAAAAAAGACCTGACTGAAACTGATGTGAAGAAACATGATTCGGAACAACAAGGTTAACCACGTTAGGTTTTCTCTCACGAGCATTTTGTTAACCATAGTGATACAACAGACTAATCAGCCGATTCATGACGATTTTTGATAATTTCACGTTTATAAAAAAAAATATAAATTCGTATTTCATAATATTGTATTGAGGTTACAGGAAAAGCTGGCACATGGGAAATCTCAGCTATAATATAGATAGTACATTGGTGTTATTCTTATCTCAGTTGACAGAAAATCTGTGACTATAGCTGTGTAGACAATGTCTATTACAAATAATGGTATGTGATAGTGATGTTTACATATATAACACTTCAACACGGAACACAATACGAGTTTAAGATGTCAACAGGTATGATATACCTTGTTGTGCCATAAACTGCATGGCAAAGCTGTACTGGTAGAGCCATCCTAGTTATACAGTTCTATAAATCATTGTCGTTACTAAGAGAACACATAATGTTAACAATGCTCAAATGTATCAGTGAGTGTTTCCGGTTAATGTGAAAATTTTCGTTACATTTCCTAGATTCAGAGTGGCTGTAGTGTTCGGTTACATTGCTCCAGTGCTGTATATGGTCATGATATATGGTAGTAAATAATTATATAAAAAAAAATCATCATTTCATAAAACATTAAGGTAGGTATTTTCTAAGAAATTGAAACCGGAACAAAACTTATATGTACTATGGAAATGATATAGCTGAGTGCTCTCATAAATTTTTACCATATATTTTACTCAAATATGATAAGTATAATATAAATATCTCACGCCTCCTTGTTCATATTTCTCAAACGCTGTGATTTTTTTTCCGATAGTTAATAATTTCGGGGATCATCAGATTCGGCCACTGAAATGTTACTCACCCTATGGCGTTCTTCTGGTCACGCGGTCTAATAGTTTTGTATGGGTAAGGAGGTCAAATCAATAGACATGATGTACCTCCCTTCCAGAATTTTCTTTCTATTGGATTTGATACTATCCCTGAATCGGGGTGCTATCACAGGGTAAGCCCTCTGCATTAAACCTGGTATTAGCAGCATACCCGCCTGTAACGTTGGTGTTTGATCTCATTACAGCTTAAGCTGTTGTCATGGTGTCAGGTTCAAGTCCTGCTTGGGTGGATGGGAGGGGGTTGGGTTTGGTTTGTTGGTTGGTGGGCGGCAAATGCACATGATGACACTGGAAGATGCTAAGTCTAACTAACGGGATTGAGAGCATTACAAGGTTCACTACTCCTCGACGTTATACGACTTCGACGATTTGCCATTGTTTCACAGGTTTTAAATAGTCCCTTATTATGCCTAGTCCGTGACCAAACATTCGTCATATAGTGTTCCAATAACACGTGATGTATAGGGATATAGAAAAGGAATTTATGTCAAGTGACAGAATTTAAAACGCAAACAAATATCCCGCATCGTTTACCAATGTCATAGAACCTGACCAGGCACTAACGAAGTGACCAGACTGTAACTCTGACCAATCAGACTCCCTTGGGTCTAACACGTGACTGGTCAAAACTAATCACATAAACTGTCCAATCATTTACGCTCCTACTCTAGATCTGTATAATCGATGGTTTCTAAATATGTATTTAATACTTATATAAAAAATATCTGCTTCTGGTATTTAACACTAATTGTCAATCAGCTATACACGTAACTAGTAGTCAGTTATACTTGCGAGGCTAATTCACGCTTGGCTATGGATTAATACTCATTTTGTCTAAATAAAACAAGGCTTATGGTTGGTTGGTTGACAGGTTTTCCCTCTCCGTGACGCCACTTGTGTGCGGGTGTTGTCTGAAATTTCAGCGAGCTAGGCTTTTATTCATTATTTGCACTGTATGCTGTGACGGTAGATCTTCCGGGCGTGCTGAGAGAACAGTCGGTAACAACTGTCTTCGGTGTTGTGTGCTGCCGTAATAAGAACTTTCAACCGATATGACCAACGAAATGATGACAATTCTGGTGATGTTCTTTCTTCTTCTTCGTGTACCTGGTAGGTTATAATTACCTTTGTATCTATATTTACGAGTAATCAAGTTGAATAGAGAACCATTGCCACACAAACTAGAAAGTAGATTGTGTTCAGAAAAAAGTCTAGCTCCTGTTACGAGATTTGAAATAATTTTAAATTGAAATATATGAATATTACGATAGCTGTTCAAGAAAATCTGATAAAACTAGGTAAAGTCAGTGGTTTTGTTTATTGTTCAACCTAACGCTGAATTGGACTGCTCCTAATCACGATCTTTACACTCATAAGGAGATTTTTTCAGTGTTGTATTTATTTTGTGTATACATTAAGAATCTTCTACCTTTTATCAAAATTGATATATCAGTTCAATAATGTGATGCCGAAAATCGGTTCATCCTCACAGAAGTGCATGTTTAAAACTAAAAACTGTTTCAGCCAGCAAGAAATTCATCGAAGATTATTACCGTTTAATAAAGAACACTTTAATTTAAAGATAATGTCAGATTTTAATGTACAAAACAAAAACAGTACATTCCAATAAGTATACGGTATAAATATTTATAAAAGTCAGTGATATATAACAGATTTACTACCGTGAATGTCTGATAACATCAAGGCTTTAGAATGATGACATACAATATTAAATTTGTAATCATCATTTAGGAAGTAATATATCACTTTAATATTCTGTTCTGTGACTTTACAGCTTAATCCATGATGAAACCTGACTTGACCGACACCTGCCTGTAGCGACACCCGACTTTAGAGATATATGTCTTAAGCTACACCTGACTTTAGCGACACTTGACTTTAGAGACACTTGACTTTAGCGACAACTGGCTTTAGCGACACGTGCCTTTAGCGACACCTGACTTTAGCGACATTTGATTTTAGCGACACCTGACTTTAGAGACATTTGATTTTAGCGACACCTGACTTTAGAGACACTTGACTTTAGCGACACCTGGCTTTAGCGACACCTGACTTTAGCGACACCTGACTTTAGAGACACCTGACTTTAGCGACACCTGACTTAAGCGGCAACTGTCTTAAGCGACACCTGACTTTAGCGACACTTGACTTTAGCGACAATTGACTGTAGAGACACCTGACTTTAGCAACACCTGACGTTAGCGACACCTGACTTTAGAGACACTTGACTTCAACGACACCTGACTTAAGCGACACCTGACTTTAGAGACACGTGCTTTTAACGACACCTGACTTTAGCTACAATTGACTTTAGCGACACCTGACTTTAGCGACATCTGACTTCAGGGACACCTGACTTTAGCGACACATGACTTTAGAGACACCTGACTTTAGCTACACTTGCCTTTAGCGACACCTGACTTTACAGACACCTGACTTTAGCGACATCTGTCTTAAGCGACACCTGACTTTCGCGACACCTGACTTTAGAGACACCTGGCTTTAGCGACACCTGACTTTAGAGACATTTGATTTTAGCGACACCTGACTTTAGAGACACTTGACTTTAGCGACACCTGGCTTTAGCGACACCTGACTTTAGCGACATCTGTCTTAAGTGACACCTGACTTTAGAGACACCTGCATTTAGCGACACCTGGCTTAAGCGACAATTGACTTTAGCGACACCTGACGTTAGCGACACCTGACTTTAGCGACACTTGACTTTAGCGACAATTGACTTTAGAGACACTTGATTTTAGCAACACCTGACGTTAGCGACACCTGACTTTAGAGACACTTGAGTTCAGCGACACCTGACTTAAGCGACACCTGACTTTAGAGACACGTGCTTTTAACGACACCTGACTTTAGCTACAATTGACTTTAGCGACACCTGACTTTAGCGACATCTGACTTCAACGACACCTGACTTCAGCGACACCTGACTTCAGCGACACCTGACTTTAGCGACACATGACTTTAGAGACACCTGACTTTAGCTACACTTGCCTTTAGCGACACCTGGCTTTCGCGACACCTGACTTTAGCGACATCTGTCTTAAGCGACACCTGACTTTCGCGACACCTGACTTTAGAGACACCTGGCTTTAGCGACACCTGACCTTAGCGACATCTGTCTTAAGTGACACCTAACTTTAGAGACACCTGCCTTTAGCGACACCTGACTTTAGCGAAACCTGACTTTAGCGACACCTGACTTTAGCGACACCTGACTTTAGCGACAATTGACTTTAGAGACACCTGACTTTAGCGACATCTGTCTTGAGCGACACCTGACTTTCGCGACATTTGTCTTAAGTGACACCTGATTTTAGAGACACCTGCCTTTAGCGACACCTGGCTTTAGCGACAATTGACTTTAGAGACACCTGACTTTAGCGACACCTGACGTTAGCGACACCTGACTTTAGCGACACTTGACTTTAGCGACAATTGACTTTAGAGACACCTGACTTTAGCAACACCTGACGTTAGCGACACCTGACTTTAGAGACACTTGACTTCAACGACACCTGACTTAAGCGACACATGACTTTAGAGACACGTGCTTTTAACGACACCTGACTTTAGCTACAATTGACTTTAGCGACACCTGACTTTAGAGACATCTGACTTCAATGACACCTGACTTTAGCGACACCTGACTTTAGAGACACTTGACTTCAGCGACACCTGACTTAAGCGACACCTGACTTTACAGACACCCGACTTTAGAGAATTCTGACTTCATGGACACCTGACTTTAGCGACACATGATTTTAGAGACACCTGACTTTAGCTACACTTGCCTTTAGCTACACCTGACTTTAGAGACACCTGACTTTAGCGACATCTGTCTTAAGCGACACCTGACTTTAGCGACATCTGTCTTAAGTGACACCTGATTTTAGAGACACGTGCCTTTAGCGACACCTGACTTTAGCGACACCTGACTTTAGAGACACCTGACTTTAGCGACACCTGACTTTAGCAACACCTGACTTTAGCGACACCTGACTTTAGCGACATCTGTCTTAAGTGACACCTGACTTTAGAGACACCTGCATTTAGCGACACCTGGCTTAAGCGACAATTGACTTTAGCGACACCTGACGTTAGCGACACTTGGCTTCAGCGATACCTGCGTTTAGCGACACCTGACTTAAACGACACCTGCCTTCAGCAACAATTGACTTAAGAGACACCTGACTTTAGCGACATCTGTCTTGAGCGACACCTGACTTTAGCGACACCTGACTTTAGCGACAACTGACTTTAGAGACACCTGACTTCAGCGACAACTGACTTTAGCGACACCTGATTTTAGCGGCATCTGTCTTGAGCGACACCTGACTTTAGCGACACCTGACTTTAGCAACACCTGACTTTAGCGACACCTGACTTAAGAGTCACTTGACTTTAGTGACACTTGCCTTTAGCTACACCTGACATTAGAGACACTTGACTTTAGCGACATTTGATTTTAGCGACACCCGACTTTAGGGACATCTGTCTTAAGCGACACCTGACTTTCGCGACACCTGACTTTAGAGACACTTGACTTTAGCGACACCTGGCTTTCGCGACACCTGACTTTAGCGACATCTGTCTTAAGCGACACCTGACTTTAGCGACACCTGACTTTACAGACACCTGACTTTAGCGACATCTGTCTTTAGCGACATCTGTCTTAAGTGACACCTAACTTTAGAGACACCTGCCTTTAGCGACACCTGACTTTAGCGACAATTGACTTTAGAGACACCTGACATTACTTAGAAAATATGCTAAGTAAACAGGTAAACGTTTGCTCTTTAGTTTTTTTTTCATTTCTTATCCACTGTTTAGCTTCACTTTCATCTTTGTATATAAGCTTAAGATTTATATTTTTTTTATTTTGTAATATTGAATAAATGTCATAATTAACAAAAAAACAAAACAAAAAAATCCGGAGGGGACATTTCAAGATGGCCGCGGGTCAACAACAGAGCAGATATGAATCGAAAATGAATGCATTAATATGATGTTTTCAACATATTTTTTATACGAAATTGTTGTATACATTTCAAATACACTTCACCAAATAAAGACAGGGAAGTATTTACACTGAAATCGGGAACTTTATTCACTTGACACTGTGCTTCATCGGAAAAATCGAATACGAGTTATATATAAAACAAACAAGTGTATATATTATGAGGATTTCTAACAAAGCTTAAAGTTATGTACTTAGCCCTGTGTGTTGGTTACAGTGTAGATATAGCTATGACAATATCTAAACGATTATATATGCTAAATTGATATCGAGTCGAAGGGGTTTTCCCTAAGTTGAAAAAAGATAAATAAATAAATAAATACAAATTGGTCCACATTTTCATAATCCAAACTCATATTCATGGGGACAATGGAAAATTATAAGCAAAATATTATTTACACGGAGACTCCTGGAAAAGTACAAGGAGAATAAGACCGGAAGCTCCGGAAAAAGGTGTTCCGGGAAAACGCGTTCAGTTTTAAACAATATTTCAATACTGTATACTGTATAATTGAATTAAATAATTTATAATTGAACGGTTCAAATAATATTTGTACTTGATTTTTGCGAGAGAACTAATAGAAAAAAGCCTTTCACTCTACCCGCCTAAAATTCTCACTTACGATAAACAATAACTTCTGATTAATATAACATATATTTCGAAACACGATTTAATACGTTGAATTTTCGGCAAAGATTCTTCTTATACGAAAGAATAAATAAATAATGTGTTTTTTTTTCTTTCTCTCTCTTTAGATTCCAGGGGAAGCGAGTGTTCAGATGCTGCAGAAACGGTAGATATACCATGTAAGCTATACACAAGATCCCGGATGTTTAAAGCTTGCGCACAGTTAATTTCAATGACTTGTTATAATGTTGTTGTTTAACATGACTTATCTGCAAAAATATATGGTAGCTAAATTGTACAATATGTTTTTTTTTTTTTGTTGATAATTTTTTTAAAACTTTGATTCATCAAATTAATTTTAGACAACGTTTCATTTCTCAAAATGAAAAAAAAAAAAAAAAACTCTTTGTTATTCATATTGCACTCAATTAAGAATTCCACGTCTCAATATTGTAACAGATATCCAGATGTGTGAGGACGGGGAAGTGACGTCACACAACGTGATACTGGACACATACGAGGCTGCTGACACAGGTGGGATCAATTGTTCTTGTGATATTAGAACTAAAAGTATCGTTAATATTTACATAGAACACTACGGTAATAGATTGAACCCAAACACATCTAATTGTGGCAGCGAAATTGTAGTCAACGGGTATGCAGTCAACGGAACCCATCGAGGAACGTACAAATGTGATACAGTTCCAAAAATACCCAGTTTCATAAGACCAGTTACTATGGCATGGAATGTGTTCTCCGATGGAGATTCAAAATATTGCTTCAATATTACAGGTAAGTAAATGATATGTATCTTCTGGTTCGTTCTCAGTTCATTATTTAGCAACCAAAAATTCAATACGAATGCTGTTGTCATTTGAATTACAGTCAAACTTCGTTATTTCGATTTCGTTTAAAGCGAAGGCCCCTTTTAATTTGAAGCATTTCGTCGGTCCCTAGATAACTTTACACAATAAAGTCATACTCACTGAAATCGAATACTCGGTTATCTCGAAGTTTTACCATGGTCCCGCTGAGTTCGAGATAACGAGATTCAACTGTAATTGATTTAAATTTATATAAATATTGTCAAATCATTACTTATTATTCTTTCGAAGTCAGGATGACAGTAATATGGAAACAAAAAGTAAAAGAAAAAAGAATATTGTTGACGGAAAAAGAGGAATAATGATACTGTGCTACTATGATTAATTTGTCCGTAGGTCTAATTCAAATTCCTTATTTGAAGATTTGTAAGAATATTGGGTTATCGTTTTCGTTATAGGAAGGTTTACAAAACAGAATACCGCGTTTACAATAACATTCAAACACTGTTAAAATCGTTTTTATGTTACATTTGCCCATACGCCATTAATCACATTCCTAGTTTGATAGATATAAGAGTATTCTGTAATGTTTCATTCTTCATTGTAGGATTGGTAACTATACCAAATTCCACTTTCACAATAAAGTGTTCCAAACCAGAAATAATCGCTACCTCGTCCTTTACAACATCTGAAACGACAACACAAACAACAAAAATAACAGAGACCACTCCTACTACCAATAAAGTGACCACCACAGCGATGACCAATGTGTCTAACACTGACAACGAGACAGGTGGCTCAACAGCTCCGACATCTAGTGTCCCTGTCGATACCAGTACGTCACTTCCGGCGGAAAGTTTCCCTCGTACGTATCCTTTGTACATAAATTTTAGATCAAATCATATTTCTGAAAAAACATGATATTTGTTCACTTTATTGGTGTTTACATACTTTACCAAAACTGCTGTTTTGTTTAGTGTGTTTGGGTCATCATTGCTTAACGATGGTGGATCTGAAATGGTGATTTCTTTAACATTAGCATCGCAACTTAGATATTCTGCGCCAAGTATAGTTCGACTGTTTAAGGTTTATACATCACTAAACACAACACTTTCTAATGAGCTTTGTGATATTGTCAGTAATGTGTATTTAGTTTTAATGTCTCTGTTTTATTTATTAGTGATAATCGTTGTACCAGCTGCTGTCGGAGGGTTTGTTCTGATTGTCATCATAATAATCATCGCCGTCGTCTGCCACAGGTTAGAATCCCGCTTCATTTCTTCGAAATTAACAATGTAATCTGATATTTTGAAGTCGATCGAAATTGTCAGCAAATATTGAAACGAATATATTCTCAAACTTTTGATGAATATTACCTGTTTGAAAAGTCATTCATTGTCAGTTTTAGTAAAATCTACAGAAATTGACAACACCCACCCATCCCGTCCAACCCACAAGAGAAACAGTTTTAGGCAATGTGGATAGAAATAACTCGTTATTATGTAGCAAGGTCCATATTGTTTGTTTAATATATAAAGATAAATTTTATAATTAAATTTTATAAATCAACATACCATTATTAAAGAGATATTGTTTTTATGGTTCACTATGTGTCTAGCCCAACCTTATAAAACATTGATCGTTTCATCATGCCGCTGGTAAGACTGTTTAGATATTATAAACATACAAATATATATAATACAACTCCATATATGGATAGCCAACAAAACAGAGTATGATATTTTTTTAAACGTCTGACGCAACTTTTATGAGTATAGCAAAACAAACTGCATCGTATACATATCACGTGACCTTTTGGAACCTCATTTTAACCCGCCACTTTGCTGTGAATTTTCCGCATCGCGCATGCGCAAAGACATTGTATCCACGTAAAAAAACGATAATGATATGAATAAGTAATGGGTCGCTCATATTTCATTTTAATTTTTCACATTTTTGATAAAATGGTTATTCAAACTTTCCAAGGTTATAATTGACAGAAAGAGCAAAATTTTTAACATCTATTTAAATGTTATTATGTTTTTATCAGTTATAAAATGAAAATGCAACCCATGATTTACGGTCCGTTTAAGTTATAATATACGACTATATGTTTAATACGAGAAACAGTAAAAAAGCGATTGTACAAAAGACACACAAGTTGATAACATGTTTAAATATGAATTTGGAATAAAAAAAAAAGTGGGGCCAAATAACGATTAAAAATATACCGCAGTCACACAGTTAGTTGCGCTTCTTAGGATAAAACTTCAAATTAATCTTTCTTATCTGAACTTTTATCATTTTATTGAACGAGATATTTGAAATTGTTTCATTATTCAGAAAACATGACAAATATTCGAAAGGAATAAACAGATACATTGATGAGATCATAGACCCCTTCGTGACGAGCAATTCAGTGGCCAACAACGACAGCGGTGAGGACAGTGATAGCTTAAAACTACACATTCTGTACAACACTTCCGGTCGTATTTCAGCAAATGAAAATTCTACTGTCGATCTTCCCCAGTCGACATCACTGGAAGCTGAATATTCCCAGGTGAAGAAGAGCATACCTAAACAAAACGAAGAAGGTAAGCAGAACGAAACTGAGTTGTCGAACTTGAATGGAACCGGAAATGACCTGTGCTGCACAAGTTGTAATTAAGTCCAAATGGACAAAACCCCAGACTTTTCAACCAGTACTTCGCATACAACGACTGCGAATTTGGTATACGTGGAAGTAAAACAAACCAGCATTGAATGAGAAAATCTCTCCGAATATGAAACTAACCCAAAAAGAAAACGAAAAACTTTGTTATAAGCGAAAGAAATGAAAAATACATCAAACCACATTTATAACGTCTGAAGAAATCTCTGAACCTCTTGGCTTTTCTGTAAACAGTGGATTGTTGCCCACTGTTTCAAATAACAAGGAGTATATAACTGACAACTTTATTTTATAAAGGAATGTACTATTTACCAGCAAGTGATGTGCAATTATAATTTAAATCCACTGCAACTTGGAGCTTTCAGAAACTGAAATTAGTTTTTTTTTTCTGCTTTTCAACATCAAACTCACACTTTTGGTGTCTTCTTTTCACTCCAGTAAAAATGAGAAAATTAATGTTAAGACGGAATATGTGTTCAAATTCCCCAATTGAATTAAAATGGTATCTTGTTTTGATATATTGATTTTTTTTCAAAAGTAGTCAATGTGGATGGAATAATTAAAGATGCATTAAGTATAATAGTTATATACAAATCTATATCAGATTAATTGATTGATTGATTGATTGATTGATTGATTGATTGATTGATTGATTAATTGATTGATTAATTGATTGATTGATTGATTGATTAATTGATTGATTGATTGATTGATTGATTGATTGATTGATCGATTGATTGTGATCGAACGATATTATTGAAGTTACTTTTGAGTAAGTTGTTAACGTTTTTGAAATACGTGCATACCGTTCAGATTACGGAGTTTTACTGAAAAATACTACACTACTGCCAAGTGAACACAGTAATGTCTGTTTATTTATTTATTATAGGAGAAACTCTTATTTAAACAAGGGAACCAAGTATATACTCTCATGTAAAATTCCAATGGAATTTCAAGCCTCCTTCCATTTTGGAATTCATTTCAATATATACTTTAAACAGTAAAATAGGATACCGTTAAATATAAAAAAAAACCACATAATTTCCCTAAGAATATTAATTTCAAATGAACAAATGATAAAACCTTGAACAGATTTGTTCAGATTCATCAGAAATCTATCAAAAACAAGATGTGTTTATGAAACAATATGTCCACGGTTGCAATAAGATTCTGAAGTGGAATATAGAATCTACATTGTATGGCATGTGCCAACTGCATGTACACTTTCATTAAACACTTATGTCTTCATTGTCGTAATGATCTGACAATTCTCGTTCCATAGTTTTGGCCAATGTGAAGATTGTACCAACATACGAACGTTTGAGAAATATATCTCTTATGCTTTTTCAAGTAAGAGCGATAACAAAAAGTTTACGGACAGACGGTGGATGGGCTACTTTAAACAATAATTAAATATAAGCAACGAAAGATTTACATGAATACATTTAAAAAATGCACAAGTAAATTTTGACCAGGTGTTCCGGAAGGCTTATCTTCTCCGAGTTCATTGAGAGCACGCATTTGTGAATCTATCTCAAATCAAGTAAGTAACGTAACGTTCTTCAATAAGTTCCACATCTAATTTCAAACTACTCAAAGAAATCGACGACAAAACTTTCCTTATAGTCTTTATCAAAATCAATTTGCATCTCTCAGTTTATTGATTAGCCAAAGCAAAGGCATGAGATTGCTATGATATTACAGCGTATGTCGAGTTGATAGTATACCATACGTACATTGGGTGATAAAAATGACCTTCGAAGTCATTACGGTCATGTTTGGTTTCAGACATATAGTTATGAATTTCTATATAATTATTTTGCAAAATGACTTACTTGTGATAAGGTCTATGCTATTGTAGAATGCGAAATATCGGTTTAGTTTTCCCTGACAGGGTATGATAGAGGCTTGTGACCACATTCTATTTCCCTATGTATGTATGTCGCCTTAGCGACAGCTCAAAGTCTTGAACATTTTTGCATTCAGCTAAGGACTCGTGAGGTGTAGTTCGAAGTTCGATCCCCACCAGGGACAGATTGTTTCTCTGATTGTCCTGTGCAGATCGACTTTAGGCAATAATTTACCCCGATTGCTGTGAATAGCACGAAATGGGCCTCCCGCAAGTTGTTCGTCGAGGTAGGCTTCAAGGAGATCCCCCCCTCAAAAAATAATAATAAGTTAAAAAAATCCAATACAAATACAATATATTTCCCTGTCAAGTTATGTTTTACACATGTATATGATATTGAAAAGAGTACAATATTCTATTTATCATTGAAATCGTATGTGTTAGAAAATAACCGAAATCTCAGTGAACGCTGAAATAAATGGGGCAGCGAGTCAGATCCGTTTCCGTTTTCATGATACGAAGCATAGAAAACGGAGTGTAATAAGAGATCTGATTTTTATAATATACATTTAATTTAAATCTATTACAACGTGATATTTTTAATACTACAATGACGTCATGATTCTTTGGTGTCGTAATATTTTCCCCACATCGTCCTGTCATGTTAACGATACTGGCGGCACGGATTTTGTGCACTTCAGAGGTAGATGAGCACAGATTGGACAAGTAGAGCGACAACACAACAAACGCGAAAGTGAAAATTGCATGCTCAAACTCGATGTTGAAATGACGGAATTAGGGTAAGTACATAGACTTATATTAATGTTGTCCCTATCATACATGATAGATTTTGAAAATGGAAGTTTCATGTTCAGTTGGCACAACGTTGTTATAGTATGTGTTACCTGTATCGTTAGGCGTGATCTAGGGCAGCTGGTGTGGTGTACAATGTAATTTGTGTGTGGACCATAAGCACGTGCACGCGAGTATGTAGGATTTTTTTTTTTTTTTTGCAGAAATATCAACACTGTATTTGTTGTGTCTTAAATAACAATTCAAAGGCTTTAAAAAACGTGATCGGTGTGTATTGTACAAAGCCTGCTCGGTAGCCGTTTGACACTGGTATTATGTTTAAGACACAAGGCAGTCAAATCATGACCTCCCAGAGTTACTTCCCTTCGTTCAAGTCTTGTAACTTAGTACGAGTTATCTCCATCGTACGTTTTTTCCTATTTCAAACCACTAGCGAAATCTCGGAGACGAATGTAACGATGTCATTATTTAATGACAAATATTATCATTGTTTATATAATTATATTAAGTTACATGTACTAATGTATTCTTTAGTCGAAGGGAGTGAACTCTTACATAACTGGGTATGTGTTTTTATTTTGCACCCATGAAACCTGGTTGTCTAGGTTTATAGGTCAGATCTATTTTTATATGTCAAACTGACCGTGGGTCAGTGTGTTCTCGCCAACCTCACTCTTGTATAAGACACTGAATAGGACAGACGTGCTTGAGTGGTTTTCCTAGAAGATTTCAATTTCTCATATCCAGTTGCTTGATATTTGTTCTTAATTTACGAGAGTCACTCCTATGCCCTCTTCGTTTGTGTTTTGTCTTTTAACTACAAGCGATATATTGACGAGTGTATGTCATTGTGTGCTATTTTTAAACATAGTAATAACGACTGGGTTATCCAGAATAACATATAAGTAGGGATTTGATAGTCAGGCGTAAAGATTGTAACTTGAGCCAAGTGCGTAAATGCTTGTAGATCTAATAATGGATGATTCCATTGTTGTAACGAACTAAAGTATGTGTGTTGCGTCGTATATTTTTCTATGTATTGTTATTTGCTAATTTAGGGTAATTTCTTACTCGTCAATAATAAATGCTGAAATGGGTTAAGCAGTTGGAGTTGTCGTATAACGAAGGAGACCCCTAGTAACACACGGTTACTCAAAAACCCCTCGAAATTTATCATATTTGCAGTATATGGCGGCCCAGATGGAAGGGCCGTTCTAAAAATACTATATTATCAAGTGTTATACTCATATTTCTAGAGACGATTATTGTATTAGGTGTCACCGTTGTGTTATGTTTTCATTATTCGAGACCATAATATTAAATGCTTTATTGCTGTAAAAAGATATTGAAACGTCACTTCCGTTCTTGTATACATGCATATTATCCATAGAGTGAAGATCATTTAATGTGTCTGGCAGAGTCTGGAAAGAATCTGTGTGTGAATATTTCAAACCGCTTTTCTATGATAGGAAGATTACATTATGTTAGAAGCAACAAATGTATGATTGTCACTGACAATGGTATGTCATTGATAGTGGTATGATTGTCATTGACAGTGGTAGGATTGTCATTGACAGTGTTATGTCATTGACAGTGGTATGATTGTCACTGGCAATGGTATGTCATTGACAGTGGTAGGATTGTCACTGACAATGGTATGTCATTGACAGTGGTATGATTGTCATCGATAGTGGTATGATTATCATTGAGAGTGGAATGATTGTCATTGACAGTGGTATGATTGTCATTGACAGTGGTAGGATTGTCATTGACAGTGGTAGGATTGTCATTGACAGTGGTAGGATTGTCATTGACAGTGGTATGATTGTCATTGACAGTGGTAGGATTGTCATTGACAGTGGTATGATTGTCATTGACAGTGGAAGGATTGTCATTGACAGTGGTAGGATTGTCATTGACAGTGGTAGGATTGTCATTGACAGTGGTATAATTGTCATTGACAGTTGTATGATTGTCATTGACAGTGGTATGATTGTCATTGACAGTGGTATGATTGTCATTGAGAGTGGTATGATTGTCATTGACAGTGGTATGATTGTCATTGACAAATGTATGATAATCGTTGACAATGGTATAAATCCACTTAGCTACGGTGGCCCAGACGAGAAACAATAAAATAAAGCTATAGAATTCGGATGTGAATGTTCCGTTGGATAAAAGAGATGTTCTGGAAATATGAAAATTTCCCCTTCAGTTCGTGACAAAAAAACATTAACGTAATCTTCAGTCAAACTTAAATTCTTGGAAGCTATGGTAATATATAAGGAAAGACGATTTACCCAGATACCCTTACAAAAGAACAAAGATAATAACACTGGATGTTCCAGAAGGGTAAGCGTCTTTTGCTTCATCTATGACAACCACCGTGTAAACCTTGGGC